AAACGGGGCTTCAACTTGTTTATGCATTTGCCAGTACTACCCCGTAGGCCGTAGGCTTGCCGTAGGGCGCCCAGCGTGTAGTGTCTAGGGCAAGGCTAGGCTGGACCATCAGTGAGCCCAGATGTAAAAAGGGTTGACAAACCCTAAACCCTACGCCCTTCATGTAGACCCGTGGTGAATAATAAGCTCTATGTTCTTTGTTTACGGTCTTGACCTTAGAAATCCTCATCAAGGAAACCCTCGTAGCCCAGTTCTGTGGCTTGATCCCTAAACCCGTAAGGCCCTAACCCTAAAACACTAAACCCTAAACCCTAAACCCCACAACAAAAAAACAACCCATTCCTGAGCCCGGCACCCATCGTTTGCAGTTTCCCTCAAGCACTAGCCAGTAATCATCCTGCAGACTACTGTTGATGATATAAATCCTGCATTGCCTTAAGGACTCTAAACTATGGGAATTATGGTGTATTCCTTATTATGGGTCAGCAGGATTTATATCATCAACCGTAGTAGACAGCTAGGCCCAATGTTCTCGGAGCCTTGTGAACCCTGCATCGTATCCCTAGAGAAGCCTATAAAGCCCGTAGCCTTCGGATGCAGGAAATGTTAAGAGTGTATGTTTATGAAAATCACAAACCCCTCAGCCAAAAAAGCAGGGTTTAGGGTTGAGGGTTCACGGGAGCCGGTAGCAAGTAGCACACCCCGAAGCGGGATCCTCGACCCTAAATCCTTAACCCTTAACCTTAAGCCCTAAACCCTAAAATCCTGAACCCTAAAACCTTAAACCCTAAGCCGTAAGCCCTGCAACTGGCAGACTCTCATGGTACTCGTGTGTATGGCCCGTTTCATCATAAAGACCCGTAGGGGGTTCCCTGACAGGTTCCTTTAAGGGCTCCTTTCTGGGTTCCCTTAGGGGGGCAAGGGGGAGAGGGGTAGTTGACGATATCACTCCCTTAAAGCCTTCAGATAGGCCTCATGAGACCCTTATGATGTCCTTCTTAGGCAGGGTCCCGAAAGGCGAAACCCGTAAATCGTTCCATGAAAACCCCTCAAGCCCCTAGGCTCAGGTTCAGAGCTTGGGGTTTAGGGGTTTAGGGCTGGTGCCCTAAAGCTCAGACTCTTTTGAAACCACTGAGCCTTGAACACGAAACCAAAAACCCTAATCCTCTAAACCGGTTCAGCGGTTTCGAGTTTGTAGCGCCACTCCTCTCAGGACCATCAGAAGTCGGAGGAGCAGCCCCCGGTGGAGGCTCAAAGCGTATTCAAGGGATCTCCTCCTATTGAGGGTCGGTTAGGGTTTTTGTTGGGGGGTCCTGTTGGTGGGATCCTTTTTTGGTTCAGGATCCCTATCACTGCGAGCCTTCTGTGAACATGGGCCTCTAGTTCAGGGTTTAGGGTTTAGGTGTTTTGGGTTTAGGGGTTTAGGGTTGCACGTGTGTGGCCGACTTTCCCAGCTGATGATTAGAGCAAGGGTTCACAAAAAGAAAGGGTTTCTGAAACTCCCTTTCGGTGCTTCGGTGCAGGGGAATGGTTCCAAGTTCCAAATACTCGGAACTCTTGGCGTTGCACCTGGCATCTCTTGTCCAGTGGAGTTCTCAGGCATTGGGTGTTGAGAGGGTTTTTATGTAGTTTTTTGGTGTTTCATACAGTCAAGAAGTATTTTATACGTGAACTCCCAGAATAACCGCCCTCGATGTCACGAGCGTGCGTGCACCACCGAACTACAGAACTTGATGACAACCCTCTTCGAAACCCTGATAAACCCTAAACCCTAAACCCTAAACCCAAACCCGTAAAGCCATCCTTAAAGGAACACCCCGCAAGGGTCCCAGGGCGGGAGCTGCCAGTCTGCAGCACTTCGAGCGCGAAACTCCCCAATGGGATTCCTTGCGAACCCAAAAGGTCGCCTAAACACCAAACCTCCCCTTCCACGTTTTAGGGGTTCAGTAAACCCCTAAAACGTGGAAGGGGGGGTTTGGTGGTTTAGTGTTTATAGGGTTCATTGAAAATAAATCCCAGAACCCCAAAACCCTAAACCCAAAACCCTAGAACCCCAAACCCCAAAGCCCTTACCTCCGTTTCTGAGGAGGTGAACAGGGCCATGGCTGCAGCTCAAGCAGCCCTTGCTTCCGCGGCTTCAGAGAAGGCCGAGGTCTGCCAGTGGCCCTTTTTGTTTTTTAGGGTTTAGGGTTTAGGGTTTAGGTTTAGGGTTTAGGGTTTAGGGTTTAGGGTTTAGGTTTTAGGGTTTAGGGTTTCGGGTTTGGGGTTTACGGGTTTAGGGGTTTAGGGTTAGGGTTCAGGGTTTGGGGGTTTAGGGTCTGGGGTTTGGAGTCAAGGAGAGAGGTAGCCTTATTGTATTGCTGGGCCTAAACGCTATGCTCGAAGCCTTCTCCCTAAACCCTAAACCATAGAATCTACGGTTAGGCTTCAGGTGCCTCTGCGGTTCGGGTTGGGGTGGTCTGGAGTGTGCCAAGGGCTTTCGATTCAACTTTCGCCCTTGCGGAAAGCTGAAAGTAACATGGGCAGTTTAGGGTTTAGGGTTAGGCTCCCTTTTTGGGGTCCTTTGTATTATGGCACCGTACTATTTTGCGGACCTGATATGGGACCACAATACTTTGAGGACTGCCCACATAGAAGCTCGAATAGTTGCCGATATTCTTCCTTGCCTTGGGGTTCGAATTATACAGGCGTATAGTACAATACACCCCGAAACCCTAAACCCTAAACCCAAAACCCTGAACCAGAACCCCAATTCGAACTCAAGGGCGTCCATGGTGTGTGTTTTTTTGCCGACGTTCCTGGGTTCAGCAGGACCAGGCTTCTGATTCTGAGATTGTGGTTTGGGTATTGGCACGAAGACGTCTCTGTAGCTTTGCTGTTGATATAGAAGCCTCAAGAATTACCTGTACTATTTTTTTGGGGGAGGGGTCCTCATGAGATTTCTAGTATAAAGTACCCGAAAACCCTATTCTAATTAGTAAGGTCCCTACATTTAGGTTTAGGGCCCCGACCGCACCATGAGCCAATGAAATCAGCGACCCAGCACCCAAACGTAAACCTGTGGGTAGGGCATCCCCGCCCTAAACCCTAAAGCCCTAAAGCCTAAACCCTAAACCTAAACCCTACCTTAACCCACCAGAACCTACTTTTTTTGTAGGTTCCCTATAATCCCATAGTAGGGTTTATAATAAGAACCTACCAAAAAGTGGGTTTTGGTAGGTTAAGGTAAACCCTAAACCCTAAACGGAGGATTCTGGGATATTCCAACCTTAAGAATTCTATTCTAAGCATTAAGGGCCTTACAGTAGCCCTAGACCCTAAACCCTAACCCTCCCAAACCCTAACCCCCCCCCAAACCCGAAACCCCCCTCAACCCTCCCAAGTCAAACAGGAATTGATATGTGATTCCGGGCCAAAGCGATGACAGGGTGTTTGTCTATAAAAGCCTGCCTTTTCTTGCTTTGAGGCCCCAGGTGTAGCACAGTACCCATAGGCTCCCGAACCCCTTAAATACACAATATGCCTTGAACTACCGACTGCAGAGGGATCCCGAAGCCTTCAACCCTGGATCCTTAGTATGATGTAAAAGCATATTTCTTAATGAAGCGGTGGTTTAAGAAACTCAGCCAACGGGTGTTAACAATCCAGATCTACGGGATTTAGAGCTCTGGGGTTTTTATTCGGCTTGAGGGTTTGGGGCCGTAGGGTCTAATTTAGCGCTTTAGGGTGTTAGGGCTTTAGGGTTTATTTCTTTAGTAATTATGTTATACGTCCTTTGGTGCGAGCGGTTCGGGGTGTGATTTTGAGGGTCTGGAGGGCAGTAGGCTTCCGTAGACCAACACACCGGCATGCTGTTAGAAATAGCAGCTTTCGTGCCTGAGAATAGACTATACTTGCTAAACCCTAAACCGAAAACCCTAGTCAACGTCTTGGGCACAGGAATGCTGGAATGATCAGCTGCGCTTCTCGACTTCATGGCTCAAGTAGTTTTTGGATCCGGTCCTTTTGAACAGCACAGCTCGCCTAGCTGGCCTTCTGAGCTCTCTATTAGAGCTGCTGTCCAGGGCCTGGCCTCGAGAGTGAAAGTGCCAGACTCTTTCCTTGGTCAATGACAAGTCAGGGTTTAGGGAGATACTGTTGATGATATAGCCCCTGCAGTACCTTAAGGACCCTAAACTATGGGAATTCTGGTATGTTCCTTATGGGTAATGCAGGACTTATCTCATCAAGCGTAGGGTTCAACTAAAAGAGAGGGTTGGGCTTCAGGGGCATAGTTTGGAATGGCCCAGCTTGAAGCTGTCTTTTCAGGGGGTGTAATCTGTCGGTCTCGTGGCCGAAAGCATCCATGGTCCAGAAATAGTTCTACCAGATGAAAACCCGAGTAGGGAGCCTGACGTTGCTTGCTAACACGTCGGTTGATCATGATGATGCAGGTCAGAAGAACATAAAGCAAAATAACCAGGGAGATGTGGCGGCAGTGGTAGTCGTGGAAGTGGTCGCAATCGGAGTCGTAGCAGCAGTAGCAGTAGCAGAAGCACAGGCAGTAGCGGGAGCAGGAGCAGCAGCTCTGGTCAGGGATTGTAGGCTTGAGGGCTTTAGGGCTTTAGGGTTCAGGGTTTAGGGTTTGGAAGTAGGTTTCCTTGTACCTGCAGCTGTTGAAACGAAGCTCCCGAAGCGGCCCAACCCTGAGCCCTAGGCGTGAATAGTTCTCTAAAGTAGGGTCCCTTTTCAGGTCCGCAGTATAGTACGGCACCCTTAGAAAAAGGATCCTAAAAGGGACCCTAATTTGAGAGAACTACCTATAAGGTAGCGCGAAGTTTCGAAGGTGACTTGCACTCCGGCCCTGGCACAGCATCCTGTAGTAATATAGGGGCCTGAAAAATTGCAAAGATCAATCCCAGAAACCGTGTTCTAGATTCTAGTTATTAACACGTAATTCCTGTTTAGGGTCCCGTACTGTGAATATGCTATAATATAGCTTTTGTTCAGGCCCCTGTATTATGTCACAGCTCGTCCAGCCAGTAGCATGGCTTCTAGCGCTCAGCTTGCTGATTCTGACCTGCGCCGACATGGAGCCACGCTCAGGCTGTGAACCATGATACCTTGAGGTGTGGGTGATCCTGTAAGCCCTAAACCCAGCCCCAAATCCTAACCCCTAAACCCTACGACTCCCGCCTATCCCCGGCAATTGGCAATTGCAACAGCAACAAGCCCAAAGTTCAGTTCAATCGGAGCATGCAAGCGGCAAAGGCGTTGTGATCAAATTCGGGTTTAAATGCCCCAAACCCCTGAACATGAACCGTACACTTGATCTTAACAACGCTTCTTCCCGCAGCCCTCCACCACAACCTCCGCCACTGAAGCTTGATTCGATCATCGCAAAGTCTGGTATTGATGGTGATGGGGGTGATCGTGGCGTGGGGATGACGATGGCGGGGACGTGGTGGTGGTGCTGGTGGTGGTAGTGGTGCTGGCGCGGCGGTGGTGTTGGTGCTGGCGGTGGTGGTGTTGCTGGCGCTGCTGCGGCTGCTAAACCCCTCCCAAGAACACAGAACCTGGACACTTTCTAGGCACTAGTCGCTAGTCGGCAGGTAGCGCACCAGAGTTGCAAAAAGTATTCAACACGATTCTGCTTTTGGGCCATGAAGCAGCAGCGCAAAGCCGACGAAAATCCGCTTTCTTAGCCAGGTTCCGAGGATCAAAGGAAAAGCCAAAACCCTGTTAACTCCCGACGAATCCCAGGACCTGAAATCGGGGGTTTACAAGGTTTAGGGTTTAGGGAATCTTCCATGTGCCGACTTCCCAGCTGATGATCAGAGACTGGGTTCAAAAAAAGGGAATCTTCCATGAAAAGCCCCAAAAATCCCAAAGCCTAAGAATCCAAAGGCCTAACTAACTCCTAACCCGTACAAATCCTAAACTCCCGAGCAGGCAAGTCCTGGTGGCCCAGAGATTTGTCGGCTCGGGGGAGTTTACGGAGGCTGTTCGGAATGCAAAGCGCAGGGAAGGTAGGGTTTAGGGTTTAGGGTTTAGGGTTTAGGGTTTACGGAGGCTTTTCGGACTAAACAGCGCAGGGAAGGTAGGGTTAGCTTGGAGGCCCAGGGGACTTAGTAAGTCGGTTATAAGTAGGGTTATAATTGGGGTAACTCCAGTTGGGGTACTTGTAACTCTACTTATAACCTACTTACTAAGTCACCTGCGCCTCCAAGAGGGTTCAGGGACCCTAAACCCTAAAGCGTTTATAGGGTTCAGTAGCCCCTCACACTGACTTAGTTCCCCAATACCCAGCCTCTACACTGTTTGGGTGCTTATAATTTAGTAGTAATCTGAAAATTTAACCTTTTTGGGGGTAAGTAGGATGAAGGGCAGAGTTTGGGGTATGGTTGCTGTTCACGGAGACAGGAGAATACAAGGTTTAGGGTTTAGGGTTTAGGGCCGTGTAGGGTTTAGGGTTTTGGGTGTAGGGTTTAGGATTTAGGGTTAAGGGTTCAAGACAATATTTCACTAAACCCCAAGCCAGCTTACGACTTCAACAAAACGCGGTAGATCCGAAGCTCAAAGAGTCTGAGCCCCGGGGTTTGCGTGGTACGGTTGATGATATGAACCCTGCATTACCCTAAACACCGCTAAAATATGGGAATCCTGGTATATTCCTTATTATGGGAAACCCTACACCCTAAACCCCCAAACCCCTACAAACCCGAAACCCCGAAACCCTAAACCCTATATTCCTCATTATGGGCGATGCATCAGGGTGTAGGGTTTGGGGGTTCCCCGGCGCATGGTTTAGAGTCCTCCGGCCCTCCCACCTTTACATACTGTTGGCTTTTGCACTGGGGGTATTGAGGTCTGTGCGAGAGATATGTGCTGCTGCCCAGCCAGAATCCCTAAACCCTCCCTCTACCCCGGACCCTGATGCAAAAGGCCAGAAAGCCTTAAAAGCCGAACTAAACCCTATACCCTAAAATCCCTAAAACCTGACAACACCCGAAACCCTGAACCCTAAAACCGAACTACACCCTAAACCCAAAGCCCTCGCCTCCTAAAACCTAACTACACCCTAAACCTTAAGCCCAAAAGCCTGACACCCTAAACCCTAAACCCCACAACCCCCCCTAAAACCTAACTACACCCTACCCATACTAGTTCCTTTTTGGGATTACATTATAGGATTCTAAATATGAGCCCCAAAAAGGAACTACTATGGGGCCTATGGGTAGATCGGAGCAGGGCTGTGCAGAAGTTTAGGGTTTAGGGTTTACTAAATCCCTTACCCTCAAAGGACTCATATTCTAAGGCTTTTTAGGCCCAAAGACCCTATCATATGAGGCTTACCCTAAACCCTAAACCCTAAACCCTAAACCCTAAACCCTAAACCCTAAACCCTAACCCTAAAGCCTAAACCCTAAACCATGGGCTTTTGGCCTATGGGTAAACCCTAAGCCCGATAGCCTGACCTCAGGTTGGCCGGAGCCGACACCGAGACACCAGCAGCTCCTGTTTGCGAGTCCGGTTTCTGGAAGACAACCAAGACACTAATGGTTTAGGGTTTAGGGGTTTAGGGGTTTAGTGTTTAGGCGTTTAGGGGTTTAGGGGTTTAGTGTTTAGGCGTTTAGGGGTTTAGGGTTTAAGGTCGGTTTAGGGTTTAGGGTAGTAGGTATTTGGGGTCTAGCAGCGGGTGGATGGGTGGTTTAGGAACAGAGGGGGCAGTGTGTGTTTTTCGATTGCAGCTTGGGGCCCGATTCCAAGGCTTGGGGTTTAGGGTTTAGGATTTAGGAGTTTAGGGTTTAGGGGTTCAAGGTTTAGTGCCCCCCGCAGTTTCATTGGAAGTGAGGCTACATGGACTCGACACAGGGCCATGCCTACATCCGGAGCTGTGCTAGCAATTGCCCTGGCGGCCGGAATTACGCCACAGAACAATGCTCTTGTGCCTGGGAAGATTTAGTAAACCCTACTGGGAGGGTCGGGGGGACTTAGTAAGTGGGTAATAAGTAGACTTATAAGTACCCTAAAAGGGATCTGGGAAGATTCCCTTAACATCAAAATAGCCCAAAAGCCTCATAGAATAGGGGTCTTTGGGCCCAAAAGCCTTAGAATATGAGTCCTTTGAGGGTAAGGGTTTTAGTAAACCCTAAACCCTAAACTTCTGCAGAGCCTTGCTCCGATCTAGAGACTACGGGCTAACATAGGGTCGTTAATATTGGGAATAGGGTTTCTGTAAAAAGAGAGGGTTGTTACAGGGTTTAGGGTTTAGGGTGTCTCTGAATTGCTGCCTGGCAACATCTTCTTGTTATAACGGGGTTTTGGTGTTGGTGCATAGTACCCGCAAGAAATATTCATCTTAGCGCGAGAGAACAGGCGGATAATCTTGCTAATTGTTCAGGCCTCCATGTTCGTTTTAGGGATTCGGGCTTGCAACTTTGGGGTAGTTTGCACTTCTGACCCAAGAGAGCACCCCCAACACATGACCTTAGGCATGAAGCTGCAACCTAACTGCAAGGAAGTGGAGGCATAGACTCTCGTTTACATCCCATAAAAAAATCCCTTATAAACCTCTTAGAACGCATTTAGGGTTTAGGGTTTAGGGTGCAACCTCCTTAAGAAGCCGTGGCATTACAACATTATGGGATAAGGGTGACACATCGGGACATCGAGAGCTTTCGCACTGGCATTCTGTCGGGTTTAGGGTTTGGGAGTACATAAACGTCGGAATAATTCTCAACACTATTCCTCAAGGTTCTGTGCTATAGTTTTACTATAGTAGAACTCCAGAAACCTGCTCTCATGATTCAGTCTAACACTGGTACTTCAAGGATATCAACTTCACCACCGGTCACCGCAAGAACGGCAAGGGCAGGGATCATTTACAACTAGTAGATAAAGTGGAAACACTGGTAAACAACTTCTGGCAATAGTGGGTGACCAAGAAATTGTTCATAGTAATATACTTTCCCCGCTTGTAATCATGCTTCTGACCCTTGCGCATGTTGTTTGACATGTACGGCTTGGGATGTTCGCAAGGTCTTGGCCCGCTCTGCTGTTAGACCTTGTCCAATAATTTCGAGCTCTCCGTGTGAGAGAGCGGACAGCTCAAAGCTGCACATTAAGACACGCGCAGGACGCCCACTGGCCCGCCCGCGCGCACGCACGCACGCACGCAGCGAGCCGCCGACAACGTCTGCCCCTGCAGCCTAATTCTCTACAGACTCTACAGCTGCAGCCTTGCGGCCCTCAACAATAAACCCAAAACCCTAAACCCTATACACAAAGCACAGACTTCAATCAAGAGCTGTCTGACAGCGACGAGGTGCTTGCATCGCCAGCTCGCAACCTGGCGGGTATCCGATTGTAACTCTTATCCAACGGGAAGTAGGGTTTAGGGTTTAGGGCCAATTAATAATTAATCAGATTGTCCACATTCGACTTTACAACACTGGAGCCTGAGCCAGTCAAGGATGGAGTCAACCAGGGACCACACGCTAGCTACCACCACACCTTCGCAAGTGGACAGCGGTGAACGGACCATGCGAATAAAGCTTGGGGCTCAGCATGCCTGGGTTCTGGAGTGCCATACTTGAGTACATTTTTGGGGGACCTGTTCTTAAGGGAACCATTATGAAATTAAAGTCTATACTTTTTTCTCCCTGGTTATTTCAAAGTCTAGATGTGGCTCGACATTCCTTTCTCTCGAGAATGGCGGCCTGCGTCATGCTGTCGTCAGTTGCTCACCCTCTCGTTAGGAATCTGTGCGATGTCCAGATTGTTCTGGCGGTTTAAGCTATTATAATACCTAGCGTCAGCCCACGTGGCTCCTTATGGGTACGATTGTGCAAGCTACTGCGAGGACACCAATGAATGACCAGTGCGTTTTACCAGTAGAGTCAAGAGTGCTGTACATGAGCTCTGCGCACACTACCAGTACTACTCGTACTAGCATTCCTACCTCATACCATAGTTACTCGCAGCAGCAGCTGCAGGAGTAGTAGTAGTAGTAGTAGTAGTAGTAGTGGTAGGAGTAGTAGGAGTAGTAGGAGTAGTAGTGGCAGCCGCAGCAGCCGTAGTAGCAGTAGTAGCAGTGGTAGCAGTAGTGGCAGTAGTGGCAGTAGTAACTGGCAATAGTAGCAATAGTAGCAGCAGTAGTAGCCGGAGTAGCAGTGGTGGCAGTAGTAATTAGCAATAGTAGCAATAGTAGTAGCAGTAGTA